ATGTTTCTTTTGGCCAGATCTACCACCCCTTAAAATATCTGCACTCATTTCTGGGACACCTGTATATATATATATATATATATATATATATATATATATATATATATATATATACTCTTTATATATATATATATATATATATATATATATATATATATATATATATATATATACTCTGCTGCTCTGCTAATATATATATATATATATATATATATATATATATATATATATATATATATATATGGGTGTCCCAAAAGTGATCAGCTCCGAGGATGCCAACAGTTAAATGCATTGTGAAACCGCCGAAGATCTCGCAGATCCCCCAGCGCCCGTCGCGGATGACATTCGCGGTACCGTAACAGAAAAAACAAAAATACTGCAAAATCACCACGGGACTGCGAAAATTAGACGCACGAGGTGGTGATCGCCAGCCATTCCACAAAATAAATAAAAAACGCAAATGAATGTCCTGAACTGACTGCAGGCTCTTTCATTTTACGCTCGCGGCTTGCACTATGCTCGCTTAACATCGCTTCACTGATGCCAGCTGCTTATGCTACTCGGCTGTTGAATATTGAGCCATTATTTTAAATCGTAGAACTTTAAGATACATGACAGGCGCAGAAAGTCGACGATTCAAATTGCATGGAACATCGCTCAACGATCTCCTGCACAACTAAAGCTGACTGCGTATTGGTGTTCAAGGCGACCTCGACTAATGCAGGTCTCGCTGGCTGCAGGCATGGGTACCACAACGTTTATAACGTTCTTCGTTGGTGATCAAATGTGAACCATGCTGGAGTTCGAGCGTGAAGTCCTGTTCGGACCTTCGTCGAGCTGGCGCTGCCGAAGAAGTACCTGCTCTCAGATTTCTATGCTCCATCGTGATTTCTGCAATGCCGACCATCTCCGCTAACGGCACATTTCTGCTTGCAACGCAATCTCCGACTCACTGCTCGGAGTACAAAAGCTCGACAACCAGAAATTAGATCGATTTAATAGTGTACATGCTTTATGCGATAATAATATCGTTAGTCGTTAATATAATACGGGAATCTGTGAATTTTTCTCCCCACCATTTCATTGGGCAGCTGACGACTTAATACTGCTTTAATGCGATCGGTGACGTTTATCATCAAAATGGATGATAACATCGATCGTAACGAGTAACTATATTTTTATCAAAAAATATAACTGGTATGTTAGTAACTTTATTATAATTAAGCAAAACATGTTCTAAAAATTGGTAAAAATCTATAACAATTCTGATTTTGTTGGCTGGTACAATCAGCAATAGACAAATGAAATACCTAACTATTAGAAAGAACAGTACATACCTAGAAATACTCGTATGGTCGAAAAAAACGGCATCCCTATGTGAAATAACGATCATTAATTTACACATATGTCGATAAGCGATCTTTTGTTTCATAGTCTCGCTGACGCCGTTTTTTTCACTACTATATTGTGTTTCCATTCGCATGGTATACTAATTTATATTTAAGAGATATATCTAAATGTGTATAAACTAGGTATTTTATTAGCAATCATATTTAAGCTATTATAACTCATATCATATTCTAGTATTGAAACTTGGCGCTATATTACTCTATTATTCATGTAACCAAAATTCTGTGTCGCTCTGACATGGAAGTGTTTTGAAAAGTAAAAGCGCCTGTGTATTGACTTTATTGTGGCTTCTTTGTGGCTACGACATGTTAAATGAACACACATGTTTAGTCTATTTTCTTTATTAAGGCAAAACTACAGTCCCATAAAAGCTGACCCCGCTGTTCCAGATAAATGACACATATGTGGGGAAAGAACATTCACACATAAACTCGTATGATCGAAAAACGGCGTCAACGATGGCTTATGATGAAGATGTCATTTATATGGAAATGTCGTGATCGTCGACCCCAGCCAACTGAACGCCGTTCCTCATATATTTGACTGAACATTTATTCTTTAATTTTGGTACTACAAATGGTAACGATATTTCTTTAGTCGCGCTGTCTCAGATGCATTACGAACGTTGTTGTGACATGTATTCATAAATCAAAATAAATGGTTATATTATCTTTCCAGATATCCGCATCACAATATTCTGTGATGCATTTTAATAACCGATAAATCGGGTGTGAGACAGCTGAGCCAATATTTTTCAGTATCTTTAACATGTAATAATAGATTTCACATATTATCGATACACAGCGACCCACCTACAATAATATTTTCTTTTTAAGAATAACGCTAATTCTATCTAACACTTTCTGGCAAAGTATACTCTTTGAACGACTGTTGCAGCTGTAATTAGGCATATCGACTCTAAAATTTTGTTAGCACTTACAATAGTTCTATTTTCTGTCTGCAGAATGTGACTCGTGCATTCACCTAGGGCAAATCAATAATATTTATGAATGAAAACCGTATTATAACTTTCGTGTCTTGCCCAGTTCAGACCAGGGCGGACTGTTAAAAATACTTGCCGCTGGCACTGGGGTACATCTGGTAATCAGATCAGGCACTATTTCATGGCTAGAAAACATCGAAACTGTTTGTGTATCAGCAAGCTGACACTGCATAATTAAATGGGATATTTTCGTAATAAACAAACTGCTGAACCACAGGAAGCTCATAATTGCTGGCAGTGTTACTGATTTACAGCAGATCTGTATTGTGACCACAATTGCCTTCTTCCATTGATGCCTGTTAGATACTGGGTAAAGTGAAATTATTTTCTACCATTCACTCAATTGAACTCTTCCTACCGTGGAATAAATACCTGAAAGGTAATAGAACAAAACGAACTGTGTTTATTTAAACTGTTTACATTTCTCACATATTACGAGCAAGCTGATATAAATATGTCAAAAACATTCGCTAACGATATTTCATTTGAATAATAAAATGCTGAGTTTGTGGCATTGTTTGACCAGGCACGGTGGCACCTGTTTTGTTTTGTGCAGTTTAACCCACGAACGCCAAACACGCCGCGCAAGAGATGTATTCGGTATCGATTTTTCGGCGATTTTTGGTATGTCGATTTTTTTTACAAATCGAACCGGTATTTACGATTTACAGGCTATTATTGTGCATTAGGATAGAAAAACACTTTGTGCTGGAATGTTGTTGCAGTCATCCCCAAAAGGCCATCTAGCAACGAAAAATTGAGGTGTGCCCGCTGCCGCATGCGCTCGATGTTGTTTGTCACTTTGATGGGCTATTCTTTGATTTTACGCTGAATTCTTTTTCTTGTACTGGGATAACCCTACTCCGCCGATAAACATTTAGAAAAATTGATTTGTCTTTGCTGCAACCACCAAGCTGTGCGACCTGGCCTAATACATCGGTCAATGAAGACAGCAAGAATAAAAAAAAAGAACAAATAAAAACCGCCATTCTCAGTGTTTTCGGGTGCGTCGGTACGAAATGTCGGCACCGGACCTCTCAACCGGATATAAGTAGTTTTTTACTGAATTTTTTTAACATTTATTGTATTTATGATTTAGTGTTTGATTATCATGTGAAAAAGAATTTAAATGTGACACAAAAGCGATAGGCATGGTTGTGATGTTTAAATTTGTATGACCCCAGTGACAATGCTGAGTACGCTCATATGTGTGCTGGATAAAGCACTTTCATTAAAAGTGGCTAACTAAGCATTAAAGGTTATAATTTTATTGAGCAGTTGAAACTATTTCCTAATGTAACGAAAAAAAGCTATAGTGTTAAGATTTCAGTTCTTGCTGTAAAGCTGTTAAAGCCTCTCTAGGGTGACAGGCAATCAGATAAGAGTATTGCATTTTCTGTAGCAACTTAAAATAATTGAATTATAGATAAACATGCAGAATGGTATGGTAGGAGGTAACTGGCGACCTCAGTAAGGCCGGGGCGTGGTGGTAACAAGACCCAGCATTTTTCGGAAGAAAAAACTCAGCTGCTCTGAAACGTTTCTGGGAGGTTGAGCTGCTACCAGTTAAAATATCTGCACTCGGCTGGAACCATATATATATATATATATATATATATATATATATATATATATATATATATATATATATATATATATATATATATATATATAAAAAATGAATGAAATGTAAAATGGAAGGTTGGAAAAGAAAATAGAAGTTAAATTAAATGGAATAATTAGTAATTTTGACGTCAAACTCCATTATCTAACTTAACACTAGTCAGGGTGGTTTACATAAATCAAATCTAAACTAAAATTATACAGTCTTACTCTATTCGATTGTACTTGAAAACTTCCTCCGGCTGAGCTACGGTGTATAGCTTAGGGTGGCTACAGCTCGGTGTACTGCCACTGGAACCCACGTATGTCAGCAGATGTAGCGGGTGGCCAATTAAGAATGGACGCTGTCTGTATCTCAGAAACTACTTATCGTATAACTTTAGGAAAAAAATTCTAATAGTAAATCGACCAAGAGAAATCGCTGGAAATTATTTTCAAGTTCGAAAAATGCCCGCTAGGGGGCGTTTCTCTAATACCCAATCAGAAAACAGTTTTTCTCAAAAAAAAGCAGGTTAATAGGTATTTTAAATATTACTATTGTAATCATCGAGAAATTTGTAAGTTTTTTGACATAGAGTATTTTGCTCTATCTCAAAAAATAAAGTGGCGGGGGAAGGTTGAACTTGCTTTTATTAAAATAAGGATAACTCTGGTTTGGATTACGCGATTTAAACAAACCAGGGCTCGTTTAAAAGAGCTTTTCTTCCTTAATGATCTTCAGTATAAATTTTGTTTCCACATTTTTTTTCGTGGTAGCTAGAGGGCGCTGTTTAACATTATAACAGATATTGCGTTTTTGCGTAAAAAAATTAAATAAGAGGCTATATTTCTCTTTACACAGTTAAATAAAGCACAAAATTTGCAAAATATCAGCGCAAACTGCAACTTTCTATCTTCTCTCTAACCGGAGATATTAAGAGAACAAATCATGTTAGGCTGCCGCTTAGGATTATATGGTCTAAAAATGATAGTAGTAGCTAGGAAACAAAAAGAGGTAAATTGGTTACGTCAAAATATCAAGACGTATATTTTAATTTCATTTTAATAAAGTTTAATTATTATTTATCCATGTTCGTTTTTGATTCGACCCCATAAATTAAAACCCAGGCATATTGAATCCGTTGATCCAGCTGGCCATGGAAATATGCCGCTCCAGTGTCTCTATCTACTAAAGTAAGTGGTATCCAAGAAGCCCCACACATTCAGAGCAAAATAAGCGGCACCACTGCCTCAACTATACACTACCTACATTCATGCTGATGAAATTGCAACAAATGCAATTTTATCATGATGGAACCTCCAACAAAATTGGCAATCCATTTCTTAAAAATTATAGATAATTCATTTCATTCAGAAATTAAAAAAGTCCAGTCATTCGCCATCCTAGAATTCCTGCGTAAATATTTACCGACCAACGGTCTTGGTGCTAAACTACTTGCATCAAGGGTAGATTTTGACCAGTAGTGCATATTGTTAAGATTCTCACCTTCGTTCGGTGCTATATGAAAAGTGACCCAAACGACATAAACCTTATAATATAATAACACAAACAACAGGTAAAACACGAAAACAAGTGAAATCAAGGATGAACTTGGATTAATAACTAAATGACGTTACGTGAAATAAACCCCTAGTTTTCGACCATATCGAATTCGACCGTTTTCTGTTAAAAGTGATATGGCGGCAAAAGATTCCTAGAAATCATAATTAAATTATTGATTGTCCGACTTTCGGACATTTTAATCTAAGAACTACTTACGTATAATTAACCAAGAGATTCGTAAAAATTATATGGATGGACGATAATGTTACATAAATACATTCAAAAACTTATGACGTCATTTTTTTAAAGAAAACGCCCGAAATTCGGATGCGTGAGCCCTAGTTTGTTTAAATCGCTTAGCCCAAACCAGAGTTATCCTCGTTTTAATAAAAGCAAGTTTAACCTTCCCCCACCACTTTATTTTATGAGATAGAGCAAAATACTCTATATCAAAAAAATTACAAATTTCTCGATTATTACAATAGTAATATTTAAAATACCTGTTCATCTGCATATTTTTGAGAAAAACCCTGTTTTCTGATTGGCTATTAGAGAAACGCCCCCTAGTGGGCATTTTTCGAACTTCAAAATAATTTCCAGCGATTACTTTTGGTCGATTTACTTCTTAGAATTTTTTTCCCAAAATTATACGATAAGTAGTTTCTGAGATACAGCCGGCGTCCATTCTTAGTTGGCCACCCGGTACAGATGAAAGGCAAGTTGGTGAGGTTTCAATTGGTGAACATAAAAACCCTAAATAATATTGGTTGTCTTAGAAAAGAGCCTCAATTATAGAACAACGACTAGCACAACGTTTAGGAGTTAATAAAGGTAATAAAGAAGGACTAATCAAATCTGAACTTTACCTCAACGAGGGTTTATGATGTCCAACGGGTACCTCTACACGGACAACAGGAACGGGTGGAATTCTGAACTGTTCTGTGCTACGGTCTGGATCGGTCTTCTTGCTCTACAATTACGAACAACCAAATAAAATTTAAGAAAGATAACTCAACTAATCTTTCTACACCACGTGGGCGTGGAAAAGTCGAAAACTAGTCAACAATACGAATAAAAATCAGTTGAGCATTGACTTAGAATAGGCAGAAGAATTATAGCATACCTTGGAACTCTCGGGGACTTCTTGGGCACGTGCAATATGGGAACAACGGGTAAAAATTTGGCTATTTAATCCCTTGACGAAAATTTGGTCGGTGGTCCATACAAATTCAACAAAATCCAACCACGTCCCTGACCAAATGTGTTTCGGAAGACTTAGTCCTTCTCTAGAAAGACCTGCTAATTACCAACAGGGAATGCTTCACGAAACAGGCAGCCAGTTCTTCACACAATGTTTTTCGGTCGGGAAATACACAAAAAGTGATGCAAGAATTCGATTTCCTTCAAAAACCGGAAATTTCAACCGGAAATCTCCCTCCAGGATATAGAGAGAGAACTATATATCTTGACTAGTCCAACTCACAAAAAGGCATAAATAAAAAACTATGTTCTAGAATATTTTCACAGCCATATTTCCATATCCGGTCAATGAACGAACTTAACTCAGAAATTCCACAATTAAAATGAACGAATTCGTTCATTTTAATTCGCAGTGTGCAATTGCACACTGCGATCCACATCAAAAATAAACAATTTAACTACGAAATCTTGTCTGATAATTATAAAATTTCAATACCCAAAACAAAGGATAAATAAATCCAAAAACATCTGATTTGATCTGACAGTGACAAGTGACGGACACGGACAGATGATGACCAAAGATAAAGAGAGGTCGACAAAAATTCTAATGCTGGGTTGCATAATCGTAAAATTTAAATAAAATAAGAGACTAAAGCCACAGACACTCAGGGATCAAGACCCCAACGACACAATACCTGGGTAACTTTCTTCCTTGGTATCAGTAACTGAGTTGTTACTTACCATTTTTTAGAATTTAGAATTTAGAATGAGTGGGAGGGGGGTTAATCACTGCGACCTTACAGATCTATTGTGTCCCCCTTTCTTGAGTTATAACTCATCATACAGTCCCAGGGCTTTGACAAAACCCAGTATCTGGGACGGTTTTATAGAGGGTAGTTCTCTATCTCCAATATCAATCGTACTAAAATTCATGGCACGAATGGTTGTCGTCTCGGCGCAATCAGTGATGAGGTGTACTGGTGTTTCCCCATCTTCCCCACAGAATCTGCATTCGCCGTTTCTTCTTAGTTTCAATCTACTGAGGTGTTCATTGAGGAGACAGTGTCCTGTTAAAAACCCCGTGACAATCCGAAGATTGTTCTTACTTAAACCCAGGAAGATCTGTGATTTTTCTTGATCATAAGCCCTCAGAAACTTCTTCGAGTGTCTTAGACCGTTGCAAGATTCCCATTCCAGGTTGCGGATGGAATCTTCCAAGTTCTTGAGTTCCGCCTTGAGTTGGTTACCACTTGGAAAGCAGAACGGTTCTGGTCCAGTTAGTGGAGTGTTCGCTCCTTTTCTAGCTAGATTATTTGTTTTTTCATTGCCTTCTATCCCTTGGTGAGCAGGCACCCAGAGTAGGAAGACTTTGTTTTCTTTGCCTAATTTATTCAGCTTCTCTATGCATTCTTTGACCAATTTCGAATTGATTGATACTGAGTTGATCGCTTTTAACGCTGCTTGACTATCAGACAAGATGTTACTTATTGTTACTTACCATTCTCAATAACCAATGAATTCCCCTGAGCCCAGAGAGCTTTGAAAACCAGCCCTCTGTCCGCAATATCCTGCCATGGTGGTCTCTCGCCATTACCTTCCTTGAGCCGTAATATTGCTCCGATGTCTGGATCTCCCATTTGATCTTTCCCCAATTGTGTCATCGTCCACTGTTCATCAGCTCCAAGCTTAAAACTCCTTATCATGACAGTTCCTTCACGTTGTTCCGTTTTACAGCAGTGCTTACAATCGGTTTGACAGAGTCTTCTGGATAAACAGTCTGCGTTACCATGCATTTTTCCAGCACGATGTTGGATGGTAAAGTGATACTGCTGGAGCTTCTCGAGCCATCGTCCTATTTGGCCTTCGGGTTGTTTCATCTCCATAAGCCACTTGAGAGCCGCATGATCTGTCCTAATTAAAAATTCTTGGCCATACAGGTATTTATGAAAATAATCAACTGCCTTCACAATTGCTAGCAGCTCCTTCCGAGTAAAGGTTGTCGCCCACTAGACCAAGGCGCGACGCGGCGCGGCGCCATGTGGAAATTTCTTTTGTCTGCTTGCCACGTATTTAAATGGACCAACGTACATTAAAGCGCGCAGCGCCGAAGCGCGCCGCGGGATTTCCGTCAAGAAGTCGGAAGACTTCTCTAGCAACTTTTTTCCGTATCCCGCGTTTCGGCGCGTTGCAGTGTGCGTACTCACAACGGAAATAATTTTGCATTCGAGTCTTTTCATTAGGCTTTTTGATTAGGAACTAGTGATACATATCAATGGTAGAATCGTATTTTTAAAGGTAAATTAAGCAAATCGATTTTTATAAAGGAATATGATATTTTTTTTAGTCTTCCCTCACTAGAGACAGATGGACGAAATGCCTTTCTATCAAAGATTTAATATAATTGAGGGGTATAGAGGCAAAACCAGCAATCTCCACTGTTTAACAAAAGTGACAATTTCCAATTTTTAAATTCTAATTTTATTACCTAAATATATAAAAAAGATCAGGGTTTTTTCACCACATAACTAATATACACATCAGAATAAATAAGAATTATCAAAAGTATTAGTAATTTTTCTTTTCTGAAAAAATATGATGAGTAGATATACCCGGTGTTTTGCTTCTAAAACCCTCAATTGAGGAGTGCGTAAAATGTTTCCTTCATATTTTGTAATACTGAAAAAAATGCTCTTGTCTTTTATTAAATCTGGAAAAAGATGTTAAAATTCTCCAAACTTCTTTCTTTTTTTGTTAATCGTATGAGTCCAAACTTTTCCCTTTCTTCTTCATCCCCTCTTCCTCTGTTAGAAGAGCACCAAAAATACGCTTTCGTCCGTACTTGAACTCATTGCTTTAAAAACTAAACTACAGTAAGTAAAAAAACTTCGACTATAACTAAATAGCGTTTCCGCGTTTCAAAAGCGCGCTATAGTGGGCGCACTCCAAAAATTTTTCTTCGCAGCTGGAAAAAATTCTCTTCCCAGCGCCGAGCCGCGCCGCGGTATAGTAGGCGACAACCTTAACGCAGTAATTCCTTTCCGGTTTGGATAGAACTCGACTGTAATATTCTATCACTTGTTCTTCGCCATCTTGCACTTGTAAAAGCACTGCACCTATGCCGTGTTGCTGGCGTGTGTGTCCAGGATATACCTCCCTTGTTGTTGCGGGTAGGCTAAAATAGGACTTGAATATAAACCCGCCTTAAGTCTTCCAAAGGCTACATCACAATCGGTGTTCCATTCGTAGCCGAC